TGCTGTTCGACCGTATGACTCGCATCCTCATGGTCACATGCCTCTCGTTTCATTGGACACAGACCCACTGACGAGTTGTTTACTCTAGCTGATTAACTGTTGCCTTCCGCCTCGACTGGTCTAGTTGCGAAACTTAACAGATCGCCAAGTACCGGTGTAGGGTTTATGATCCCCAAATAACCAACGAACGGGTTGGTACTCGCCTTGACCCATTCCAAGCCACCCTCAGGAATAACCGACAGATCCTCATCTGGACCGTCTGCCTCCCTGGCAATAGGCATCGACTGCGTTCTGGGGAATATCCCTGAGCTCTGTCCTTTCCAAGGTGTACTTTCCATTAAAGTCGCCTCCATCCCAACTTTAAGGGCTAACCCGGGCACCACACCTGCGCCCGACACTCTCCCCGTTGCTCCAGAGACAAACCCAGAAGTCTCTTCAGGCAACCGAAACTCAACATCGAAATCAACTCGATGGAGCACAGGCAAACTCTCGGCTTGCGTACCAAGGCTGGTCAAGGCAAGCACTCCGTCTCATCTACCCTCAAGGCAGTTGTCGTTTAGGCAATCTGTTACACCATCAAAAGAAGTCATGACTGGCTCGACAACAACTCCTCTTCTTCCCAAGAAGAAGCGTGTTCCGTTTGAGGCAATAAAAGTGGTCAAGATATGACGAAAGGTACATAACAACTTACCTCTTGAACTATCACAAGAGATGTTTTACTAATTTTACAAACATCAAATGATGTTTTACGCAAGCAACTTATATGTGTGTTCTATCGCTGGATAACTGAAACATTTTCAAGAATTAAAAATCTTATAATTTTACAATTATTTGAAGGGCATTTTTTTTAAGTGCAGTAAAATATTGCCATATATCTAAAGGGCGACAACTGACTCTTACGATAAAATGTGCATAATTAATAAAAGTTAAATAGATAAGATAAATTTGTACATATATACCGGTACACTTATCAGCAATGATTTTCTCCAAACTCGTCAGTATTTGTTCATGCAATAAGCAGGAATTTGAAATCACAATCGCCATTACAAAATCTCAAATTTCATATAACTTCGTCAAAGCACGCCTTGTTCTAACTTTACAATATTTTCTTTGATGTATCGCAAAGGATTGGGATTGGGGCAAACAAATGTGGATGACCATCATTGACTTCACCCTGTAGGCTTCCCATGCAGCTCCTGGGTATATTTTCTAACGTACTTTTTTCGTAATTTTTAAGGTGTCAGGTGAAGACATTTTTGTTTCCAACATCAAATATTGTCCCATGCAATTTATTTGGCGGCCATCTTGGAGGCCATCTTGGATTTCGACTAAATCAGTTGACATAACTTTTGAACCAGGCCTCATAGGAAGACAAATAAACACGCTTTTTTTCGGGGTAATTTGGGTGTTAGGAATCGATTGAAAGTGTTATTTTTAAAATTTAGAGGCCACCTTGGCGGCCATCTTGGATTTCGACGAAAATGTATTATTTGACGTAACTAATTTTGAACTAGCCATCATAGTTAGACAAATAAACACATTCTCCGGGGTAATTTGGGAGTGAGGAATCAATTGAAAGCATTTATTTCATAATTTTGCGGCCATATTGGTGGCCATCTTGGCGGCCATTTTGGATTTTGACGAAAATCAGTTGTTTTAAATAATTGTTGAAGTAGGCATCATACTGGTAGGAAGACAAGCGAAAATGTTTTTTGGGGTAATTTGGGCTGGGCGAATCGATTGAATGTAATTATGTAAATGATTAAAACAGGTTAAATACCTTAAAACGTATAATATGATCTCAACATCTCGCCAAATACCAGTGTTCATGGAATGGAGGATCGAGCTGCTGCTTTCCCAATAAAGGATCCCAGTCCCGCAACGCAAGATGCTTTAATGCCACAAGAGACCAATGATGCAAAAGCGGGTTGTATTAAGGCATGAAGATGGCAATATGACAGCATATCTCAAAACAGGCACTGCTGAAGTCCAAGACAGGAGAAGTTTTCACCGATCGAGAGAAACAGCTGGAACGTTAGGTGAAACACTATCTTTAGCTGTATGCCACACAAAACGTCGTGACAGATGCCGCCCTGAAGGAATCCATCCCAGACCAGCCTGCTGTCCATGGAGGAGCTACAGACTCACTGCCATCACAGTTCTTTGGAAGAGCTCAGAAAAGCAACTGACCACCTTGCCTGCATGTGGGAAGGCTCCTGGAACTGACGGTATCCCACCTGAAGTCATAAAGAGCGGAAAACCTGCGTTGCTGCGATGTCTTCTTGAAGTCCTCTGTCTCTTCTTGAAAAAAAGGTCACGTTCCGACATGCGTGATGCAAATGTCTTCACTTTGTAAAAAAAGGCAACAGGTGCCATTGTAATAACTATCACATAATCTCTCTGCTCAGCTTAGCAGGTAAGGTCTCTACATGCGTTGTCCTGTTCCCATCTACAGAGCCTCGCCTAATGTGTCCACCCCGAGTCACAGTATGGCTTCAAATCAGGCAGATCCAACGCGGAAGTGATTTCCTCACGACGCCAGCTGCAGGAGAAGTGTCAGGAGCAGCAAAAGCCACTCTACAAGACTTCATAGAGCTGACAAAAGGTTCTCTACACATAGTCAGCAGAGGTGGGCTCTTTAAACTGCTGCAAAAATATGGGCTGCCCCTAGGCGTTTTGGCATGGTAACATCCTTCTAAGAAGGCATGCACAGCACAGTGTACTTCAACGTTGCAACATCAGATGCTTTCTCTGTGTGGAATGGAGTAAAAATTCTCTTCGGTATGTTTTTCATCATGCTCCTACAGTACGCTTTTGAAGACTGCTTCAAGGTTGTCTGTGCCTGAATACCAAAGCTAATGTCAAACTTTTTTAACACTGTTCGCCTTCGTTCCAAAACTTTGCAAGGTCATCATCCGCGAACTGCTGTTTGCTAATGATGCAGTGTTGGCGTTCCACAACAAAGCCCAGCTCCTGCGTTTCATAGATTACCTGTTCCACGGCTGCATTAAGTTTGGGCCGATCATCAGCCTGAAAAAAATGTCCTGTCTTAGAACATCGACACAGAGCTCTTGAACCATCTTATCACTGTGTACACCAAGATGCAAGTGTACAAGGCCTGTGTCCTCAGTTACACTCCTTCACGGTTGTGAAGTCTGGACAACCTATGCCGGTCAGGAGAAGACAGCTTCCATCTGCAATACCTCAGACGCATCCTCTGCATAAGCTGGCAGGATCTGGTGACCAACACGGATATTTTAGAGCATGCTGATATCGCGAGCACGGCTTTTCTCTTCTCTGCATGTGACGTCTTAATAGCATGGGCCATGTCAGGAGGATGGACTCGGGTCGACTCCTAAAATCATCTTCTTTATGGAGAACGTGCCGAAGTTACAAGACCTGCAGGGCGACCCTATCTCCGCTATTAGGAAATCTGCAAGAGAGAACTGAAGTCATCTGGAATATGCACCAACAGCTGGGAAAGCACTGCAGATGACAGTGAACGTCATTGGGAAGCTTTGAGTAGGGCTGAAAATGTTAGAAATGGCTTACTGACAGACAAGGGAGCCAAAACGACAAGAGCGGGCGCCCTCATCATTCACCTGCACTCCCTGTGGTAGAGACTGTCACTCCAGAATGGGTCTTTCCAGTCGCACTAGAAAATGCAACAGACATTGATCGATCTAATGACGTGACAGCTAAGACTTGTCGTGCTACAATCGTCAGCCATGACATAGTGATGCCATAGAAGAAGTCATATTCCAGTGGAACATTGGAATAGAGTAGAATGTCAGTATTAGGCCAAAAAAAATAATAAGTCGGTCTCTGGTCAGCGCGCGCGTCGATTTTAATCATGCGTGTCGATCTTTTTTTTTTTCCAAAATGTTCCGCGGTAGCTCCAACAGCGCCCCCTATTTCCGCACCTCCTCAATTTTTTTTTGACCAAAGAGCACCAAGGAATGGGAAATTGCACCAAGGCAAATGATCGAAAGCACCAAGGCAAATTATGGAGGACACCAATGTACATGAGGACACCAAAAAAAACAAAATAGTACCCCACCTTGTCTGTACAATCCAAGAAAAGAAAAAAAAAGCCGCATGGCCGCGTCAATTCCGGAACTTTGGTCTGACCAGAGACCAAATATTTTTTTTTTTTGCCCTAATGGCACAAATTTTGGGGTATGAGTACACAAAGCAATGGTGGGAGGAAATTGTTCTAATACAATTGTAATACTGAGCGACACGACAAAAAAGCTAGAGAAGTGGTATTATCAATGACATTCCATCGCCATACTGAACGTCTAGTCGTCATCTTCAAGAAACTCATCATAATCAGTCTCTTGATGCTCTTCGTCCATTGATCCTCTGCCTCCTCAACAGTTTTCTACAACAAGTCAATGAGTGATGGGGAGGAATAAGGTCGCAGCACCATACTGACATGGTTATCCACCACCGCACTGAAACTATGATATGATTGTTGGTTCATTATCACTATTTCCAGATAATACTACACAATTAATCTTACATCTTAATTTTTCTTCCTATGATACTTCAAAAGTTATGTCAAATAATTGATTTTTATCGAAATCCAAGATGGCCCTCACGGTGGCCGCCTTCTTGAAAATACTTATTTCCTTTCCAATTTACTCATATTAATATGAAACATGATACTGCATGTTGTCTCGATAAGATCGCAACAGTTTAATTTTAAAAATCGTGTTTTCGTAACTCACGCCGTGTTCGCGCTGCGACGAATTGACTGTTTTTTACCCCAGACACCGCATACAAAAATAAACGCTAATGTAACGCATATCCAGGCACCAGACTGTTCCTCATTTGCATACGTGTTCAAAAATCTTGCACATGCAAATGATCAAATACCAGGGTGAGAGAGCAGGTAGTGGTGGGCGCGTACTGCTTGACACCCTGGGGACGAGGTTGCTTGGGCCAATATTTGACGTTGAGAACATCAAAATTCATTCACCAGACACCTTAACGATTACACAAAAAGTAGGTTAAAAATGTATGGGAGTGCATGGGAACCCTATCTTCCATCTAGACTACTGTGAACAGCGTCACAACCTTGCTTGCCAACCAATCACGTAGCACTATTTTGACTTCCCCTGGAAGTCGTCACACAGAAATTGGCCAATGAGAGTGCTTGAAAATCTGTCACCTTGGTTCGAGGGTAATGGGTACGAGCAAAAGTTATTTTTACGTGGGACATTAAACCGCGAACCTGTAAAGATTAGCCATAAAAGGACTGTGCTTATTACCACCTTCACAGCAGAACCAAAGTGAACTTTAAGAACAAAGCAGCCCACAAGTCTACATGTCGCGACGAGATTTCGTACAAACAAACGGATATCTTCCGTTCTCCAAATCCTCTCCACTTCTGTCAAAACTTCCGTAGTATTCTTGTCCAGTTTTGGCCACGAACAATCCTATGTAAAATGAAGATGGAAACTTATTTGCAAGGATTTCTGACAGTTATTAATAATTATCTTGTTTTCGGCTTAATAACATCTTTTAAGATAAAAAAAACATTACCTGCGTTTCCATGGCTACTGTACAAACCAACAGTTGCTTCCAGGACCTGTCCTGAAAATATAAATACAATAAAATAAGCGTTAGGCATATTTCACCATTCACATGAACACACAGTCTTTTTTTACTATACGCCTGAGGTCAACTATTGTGTTTTCCTTTGTCCCTCTAATATAACACTTTCCCATAGACTAAGCACATAACCGTACGATCGAGGACCGGTTTTAACAATAGGCACCGTCGTCCAAGGGTCAAAGGCTCCTTTGTGCTCCTTTTGTTGTCTGTCCTCGAGCGTAATACAATACAAGAGCACTCTGACTTTCTAATAATCATTACTTGATCCACGATTCACATGAACAATCTGATTTTCTTTTAATCATAATACTTTGATCCACACCAGATTGCATTTGCCATTTTTTTTTTGGGGGGGGGGATATACCTTGCCGGATAGACACAGAAGCATTCCTTGCGCCAGAGTTTGCCGTGCAGGTGATGATGTCACCCTCAGCGATGGGTCCGTGTCCCTGATCGATGACCAGGGCAGACTGCACCACGCACGGTGAGAAGCTGGTCGGGGTAATCTCACAGCCTTCCTCGGTGGAGTTTCGGCCCAGGTCCTGCCACTGCGCTCGCTCTTGGTGGTACACGCTCCAGTAAATTGTGGGTCCAGTAGAGGCGCTTGCCGTGCAAACATAGCGAAGACTTCCGCTGTATTTGAAAGTGGTATCGATGTACAGGCTGCGAATTCGTAGGGCCCAATCTGTAGAGACGCACAACACATATATACATGTAAACAAATGATTTTAGATCCATTTTCCTGATAAAAAAAATCAGGAACTTCAGGCAGTATAGTCCTATTACAGTGGCGTAGCACGGTTATATTTTTTTTGGGGGGGGGGGGTTAAATTGCTGAAATGTGAACATTGCCTTTTTCTCCGTGTGTTTAATGTGTGTATGTGTGCGTGTACAAACAGTGCCTTATGGGGTACCGGCAGTGGCGGCGGAACGTGTTTGAAACTTGGGGGGCATCACCCAAAAGGGGCACTTGCAAACCCGTGCTGAAATTTCGACAGTTTTTTTTCCACCGGACCCTTGGCCTCCGTAAAATCAAATAGTGTGTGAAGGGGGGGGGGGGGGTGTTACCATCTTCCAACATAGGGGGCACTCTTCAAAACCAATGATTATATGCATTATGTGCCCATTTTCAGGGCGTATTTTATGTGTTTCGGGGCTTGGTTTTCATATTCCTCATTGATAGCAAAACTATTATTGGAAAATGGTTACTTCTAAGAAATAGTAAAGATACTTTAAGGGCATTTTTGTTTTATCTGGAGGGGGCACTTTAATGCTCGAGGGGGCACATTTATGGGGGCAAAAGGGGCACTTGGGAAAATCGGGGAGGGGGAATGCCCCCCCCCCCCCCCCCCCGGTTCCGCCGCCCCTGGGTATCGGAACAATGGGAGGTACCCCACAAGGGGTACCCCACAAGGGATACCCACCGACTTGCGGGGTACCGTTTTGGTACCCCCTAAGTTTTTTTTCAAGAAATAGATTATGGATTCTACTCAAAAACTAGGAATTTCCAAGATGGGTTGATCCGTCGCAAATGGAAGAGGTTTAGAAAAGGGATATTAAGTCCGAATTTCAGCCCAGAAATTTAACTATGGTTAAAATAAGAGCATTTTGACATAAGAGTGCGACGTTGCAAATTTTTAGTACACGGGAACAAAGAAAGTACCCCACTTCTATGCCTGGGCGTGTGTGTTTGTGTGCATGTGGGGGGGGGGGGAGTAAACAGGATGTGTAGAGTACAACATTTTCATGTATGGTTCAGGGACCATATACCACAGTTTGAAGTAAACGTTATAATCATGCGGTCAAAATTCACTCAACTATTTGCTGGTAAAAGTTCACTGACTCCTGATAAAGGTATTCTCACCACTATTAAAGTTTGACTATGTTTGCGTGAAGAAATTGTGAGACAAAAATTTCATGATCCACAATTTTCGGAATAATTGAACAATTATTGTTTAATATACCTCTCATAAAAACGAGTACTGACTCCGCAGAGGGGGTTTATTAAAGAAATGTGGAATTCAGGTGTATCCATCAGTGTATTTTTAGCGTACTCTAGCAAACTGTCCCCAATACATCATGAAAATCATACTCACCAAGGGACCCGCAGGCGTAGAGGTTGGCTATTTGTTCTTTGCTGAGGAGATGATCAAATACCATTAGATTGCTGTAGGCTGCTGAACCTCCGGATGTCAGAGATGATGGTATGATCCCAAAGCATGGATTGGCGTTGCCTAAAATCAGCTTGGTGCATCCATCATTTGGCGAAGTTATTTCTGTTGGATCATAGCACCTGCCAAACTCCTTGCCGTCCAGGTACAAGACAAGTGACTTTGTTGGTGACAGATCCACAGTAGCGGCCAGGTGGAACCATCTATCCATCGGAATCTTATTCGTCTCGTACTTCAGATAGTATGTCCACGATTCACTCCGAGCTCCGAACAAGAATTTGTTATCCGAGTTCCTGTACAGGAAGGTGATGCCCCGTCCTCTCCAAGTACGTCCTCCCACTGAAACAAAATACCTATTACTGGTGAAACTTGTCGACGAGTTGATCTTGAGCCATAGTGACCAGGTCACGCTGTGTGAAGCACACACGTCAGGATCAGAGACGCAGGTCCCAGCGAAATTGCCCAGGTTGATGTAGGCACCCTCTCCGGTGTAAATCGAGCATTTCTGCTCGACCACTTCGGGGGAAGGAACCATGTTGTAGACACCTGTGCCAATCTCACTTTTAGTGATCACAACAGGTGAATCATAATCATTGCATGATTGACCACTTGTCTCCGCATTGGAACCCAGTGAATTGTAGTAAATCATGTTGTAACTTTCTGGAAAGAGAAACAAAAACATAAGGGGAAATTTTGTTTTTACTAGAACACAATGTTTCCCTGTAATTTTATTGAGAGTTTAACGCACGGACGCTCTTAAAACAAATTGAATAGGGAGGATTAACTGCTAACAAGGGTTACGATTGTTGAGTAGATGGGAAGGGACTGATAACAAATTTGACGACGGGCTATACTCCATGCAGTAAGGTACATCCATGGAATTCATTTCGGTCACTCATAGGGGGGGGGGGGGGTCAACCTAGCTGGAAAGTTAACAAATGTTCATGTATACAGCAATGATCCACATGCATACCAATGTAAAGAAATGGACGTCTGCCGGGCACACCGTGGTGGGTGTGGTCAGGAGGGCCACGAGACAGGGGCCTCAAAATTGAGCTAGATCAGCTGGTGAGTTGAAACCCACCGATCGAGTGAAACCCGCTGGAAAATGTTGGGCCTAGTCCCAGGTATCATGAATGGCCACTGCCAGACATTTTCAGTGATGGAAGGTGCCCGCCAGACATGAAAAACCTGTATAGGAGGGGGCGTGGCCATAACCCCCTCCCATTCCTTTTCGCTGATACAGTTGCAACGCCACGAAATAGACACAATGTAAAACCGGTTTTTATACGTGCCTTAATGCTTGAAAAAAATTAAAATGTAACTTACGAGTAATTTAAGATCAGACTAATTAACTTAAGAGCGACGCCAATAGCATGGAGGGGGCGGGGCCGCCACCCCCTCCAAGCATATTTTCGTTCATATCATCGCAATGCATTCTATTAATCCTGTCTAGTTTTCCTGGCATGTTTGCCGATGCATTTTTGCTATTTTGTTCCATTTCTAAAAAAAAAAAAAAAAAAAAATGTTCTCATCGAATGTCAATTTCCCGAAACAAGTAGGCTATTGACCAGGTTAGCAGTGCATGTACATTAAATTACACGTGCTAGGGTCGGAGCTTATAAAAAAGGTACGGATAATTAATACTTTAAAACTAACGAGAAAAGGGTTTTCTGCACCTTTTCCCCTGTTCAGTTATACTTTAAAAAACATTTGGACACAAGGTAAAACATTGTTACGTTATAACAATTGTTATTTCACCCTCTTGTGGGCGTGGCCTAAATGTGTAAATCAGGGTGTGATTAAGAGCACGTTAATTCAAACGAGGCAAATTTGTAATTTTGCTGACAAATGACAGTGGTACCGGTATGAAAAAACGTGCCATACGGGGACATTAAGGCTTGGAGGGATTGATGGAGAATTATATATGAGAGACAAAGAGAGTATAAGGAGGGGGAGATACATGGAAGAGGGTATTTTGGCTCGGGTGAAAACGGGGGAGGGGGTTGGGAAGGAAGGGGCACAGGAAGAAAAAAAATCTCAATTTTTAAGTCTCCTATGATCCCACTTCTTGCCACTCTCTTTGTCACCCAGCCCGATATCTCTCTCAACCCCCACCCCATTTCGTTTATCCTCACCCAATCAAATCTCTTTTGTTCGTTGCCGGTCATTTCTTCTCTATTTGATGTTCACCTGTGGATCTCTCCTCTACTCAAATAATCCCTCTTTTGTGTGCTGGCCCCATACATTTTTCTTGTAAATGCCGTTTTGAGTTTTAATAATATCGTATTTCTAAACGCTGTGTACTCACACGAACGTAATACACTTGCCAGACTATTACGTCCCTTCTTCCTTTTTATTCTCTTTGGTTCCGATAATAATAATTAACTAAATACATATAGCGTTTACCTCGTCGGGTCGAATTTCTATAGACCAACTTGGGTACCATTGCCCCTATTTTCTCCCTTTGCTCCCGGGTGTGTTCAGACGCACCTTGTTCCGTAGTGATGGGGACAAAGACTTGTTGCTAAGATGTATTTGTAGGAACAGAAAACTGGGGGGACAGCAGGAAGTCGACATATCTCATTCCTAAACTTTGCATAACAAAATTAAAAAAAAAAAAAAAAAAAAAAAAAAACTTCCCCTTTACGTGGTGACGGCCCGTCCAATGTGTGTATTTACGTGCAATCGTCGAAATTGTCCCTCTTGTGTTATTACTTTTACTTTTTAGGAAGACATCCCACGTGTTTTGTATTTGTTGAACCCAATACTGTTCAACGTCCCCTATTGAATGCAGAAACAAACAAGTTTTGCTAGTTGGAATCTGATGCACGGTACCAGCAGGCAGGGACAGCAGAACGCTCTTCAAACTGGAGGGGAGGGGGTGGGGGGTGGTTCGGGGCACCACCAAAAAGGGGCAACTTCTCAGAAAATGGGGCACCTTCCGTCGTTGTGAAAGTGAGAGCTCTTCGGCCTCCGCAATGGCCGATCTGAATCTCTTCTCTTTTTTTGGCAGAAAAAATGTAGTCCCCCAAAAAGTGAGTCCACAAATTTACGGTGCGTTGGGTTCGGAGGGCCAGCTTAAGGGCCTGTCACATTATATGTGACATAGGCAAGAAAATGACAACTTTCTGTCTCAAAGAAGCTCAAGCTACGCTCATACTGTGCTCTTCCGCGCTTACGATGCGCTCAACTCGCTCTCTATGCGAGCCTGTCAAGCACAATTACTCGATCTAGTCGCTGCCGCTGCACTGTTACTACGCTCACACAACGCTCTGCTCGCTGTTGATACGTCCTAGTAGCTTGCATCGCGCTCTCTATCCGACCAAAATACGCTCATGTGACGTCACTTGCGCTGTATAAATACCACGACAAACGGTCAATACACAGTCCAGTTTCAAAATTATTCTACAAGTTCATCGCAGTCGAGTTACTTTCTCATGGAGACTACATCGACTGCCTTGCGCCTATAGGCTGCCTCAATGCCACTTCAATGTCGCACGATTCACGCTCGCACAGCGCCGGAGATGCGTCCTGAGCATGTTCAAAGACCTTGGCGCTCATCAGAGACCATTAAGACCCTCTGGCGCCCATCTGGCGACCTATGTAGTTGTCGCTGCGATCTAGTAGTTGTTTTTGCTCTTAGCTATTTTTTCAAGGACGCAGTGAGAGCGCATATAAGATCGCAGACAGTGTGACAGGGCCTTTAAGGGCCCGGAATGAAATGGATTCTAGATGCTCTGTGGTGAGATCCGAGGCAATTTCTGACCACTGTAACCAATGTGTTTTTCGGAAAAGCTGGTGGTGTATGTAGTGGCTGCCTTTTTTTGTGACATCACTAAAAATTCAATTGGGTTTTGTTATTGTGGCCCATTGCCCCTCATCCTCTTGGATCCGCCCTTGGACCTTCGGCACACGGCACATTATACGTCCTCCGCCCTCGCCAGTATCCACTGTTGACTGTGGGTCCCTCCCCCCCCCCATGAATTTGACTATGGTTATGTAGAGAGACAAAATATTGATGACGAAATAAGCTAAATGCCTTGATGCGTTGGAACAAATACCGTGACGACATTGCAGTATTCGGTCTCCCTTGGAGAGCATGGAGAGCATGACGAGCGGCTGAACGTCTCATCGCCCTGATTGAAACCGCCGGTTCCTTAGCATAGTCAACATTGTCTCACACTACACCCCAAATTGCGCAGGCAAAGTTGCTCCCGTCAGCAATCTTCTTCGAAAAGATGTACCATTTCTCTGGCAAGAGGACCATCAAGCTTTTTTAATAACCCTCAAACACTCCATCTCAACTAAGTCCTGGCTACGATTCTCCGACCCACAAGTATAGAAACCATCCTCAAAGTAGATGCATCTGAAAGAGGATTGGGCAACACCCAGGAAGGCAAACCCATTGCATTTTCCTCAAAGAGCATATAGTTCCTCTTCCAGAGCATATTCTCGAATATCGAGAGGGAAGCTGTGGCACTGCTGCAACTTCATTCAGCTGCAACTTAATTGTTGTCATTGACCATTAAAACCATTGGTTACGATCTGGCGCAAAATCCTAGCCAGTGCACAACCCCGCTTGCAGCGTCTTAAGTTACAAGGATACAACTTCGACAATGTCTACAAACCTGGGGTAGCTTGCCCAACCCCTCCAAGCTTGAAAACGTACCACGTGATGAATCTGTAACTTAGATACACTGAGATGGGAACCCGACTGTTACTTTTGTTTTTGTCCGCCTATCTTTGGAATAAGTTAAAACATTTAAGATATTAATAATCAATTACGAAAACTCTCTTGGCATAGAATTTGAACCATTCTCTCTGACTTAAGAACAAAAACTCACAATCCCCACTTACGATTTGCACTTTAAAACAAGGTGCCAAAATGCTTACCCAAATCCATGATTTTAGCACCTTTGGCTCAAGGGCGGAAATCGCTCCTTGAACGTGGGGGGACAGGTTTTTTTTTCTCCCCGAAATTATATTACTCACAAAAAGTCACAGGCTGAACGGACAACTTTCCACTCGTAATATTGCCATGGGGTATGGCAGCCATAGCGACAGACTTGAATCAAGTCTGTAATGAGTGGTTTTAATCGCGTCCGCCGCAAGGGCCGATCCAGAACACAATTTTTTTAGGGGGGGCCAAAAAAAGTTTGGTCCCCCAAAAAGTGGGTCCCAAAAATTACGGCGTGGGGTTTCGGGGCCCGCTTAAGGGCCCCGAAAAATTTTGGATTCTAGATGTTCTGTGATGCGATCTGAGGCAATTTCTGACCACTTTTACCATTTTATTTTTGAGGAAAAGATGGGGGTGTACTCATTGCCTGCATTTATTGCGATGTCACATAAAAAAAAGAAATCGGTTTCGGTTTTTTTTTGGGGGGGGGGGTCATGGCCCCCTTGATAATGCAACAATATATTTCTAAACCTCATTGTGTGCATCGGGCATTTTGTCATTGCGGTTCTGTAACCTTAAAAATGGGCACAAACCGCGAACGAGTTCGTTTTCAGGGTGATTAGTTAAACTACAACAAACCACATGGGCCAAACGGAGCTTACGTTTACAGTCAGCGCACACTTCATTTTTTGAAGGGGATTTACAATTATTCGTAACAGTTTCAACTTCCATAATTACTTAAATATTACTCCTTTTATTCAAAGACAGTTGCAAAAGTACTAATATCATGTACAATGTTATACGCTTTTTTACTGTAGTTTTAAAAACAGGACTGCCAAATAAAATGGAAACTTGAAAATGATCATGTAATAATTACCCCCATA